ATTCAGACTGTATCGACTTCGTTGTCGGCCTTGGTGGTCGACCAATGGAAGAATTGAAATTCCACATGATAAATGGATTTGCAGGTTTCCCGACTTCTCCCGTGTGCGTTCATGTAGAAAACTCCAGGTCCGTTGTGATTTATGCTACTTTCTTCCTTCTGCAGAGGAAAAAATGAAAAGGCCATGAGAGGGAAAGATACCCTTGAATTGCTCAGATGGAAGAATGTTGCCAAGCGCACACACTTAACCCTTTCGCTGTTAGCCCGAGTACGTACTCGAGCTCTGAAAACAAGTCCTTTTATGTTGTTTCTCTTCTGACTGTAACTGACATACATTCGGTATTAAAAAACCCCCCATCAATTTCCATACATTCTTTTTTTTGTCGACACATGACTTTCGGAAGCATTGAATAACAAAAAATAAAGTGCGTATCGTTATCGTCCCATTCTGTAAAAAAAATGGTTTCCTACGCACTTAGTTTTGCGCTAGATGATGAAGAAATTAATATAATTTTAAATGCTAATTGTGGCATTTACTATGTTAGTAGTGAAAATGAAGTTGATGTAGAAATGGAAGTTGAGGCTGAAACTTGAGAAGGTGAAAATTACGATGATGGGAGTGGATATGCAAGCAGGAATAGAGGCAGGCCAAAAGGGCGAGAAACTGTTCGTGTACTAGAGTTTAGCAAGAATCCCCATGCAACTCATTTCTTGACTTTTACTGGAAATCCTGGGTTTCAATTCTTTTAACACAGTGATGGCTTTTTTTTAAACAGCAAAAGGGTTAACTTCTTTCTTTAAAGCTAAAGGATGCAGACATGGATTCAAGTATCAGCTGCAAGGGAAGCACGGTTGCTGAAAACCGTGAGAGAATATGCAAGGTTACCTATTCAGAGTACATAAGCTGGTGGAAAAATCAGATATTTCATTAAAGATTATACAATCGATGTGGTTTTTCTTTATTCTAATGAAAAGGCCAAGTGGAAAAGTCCTCACCGAATGAGACAATATTTCAGCCTGTTTTGCAAGGAATTAATGTACAGAGAGGAACCTTTATATCTCGATTGGAGTTTCTTTAAAAAAAGGAATGCATATTGAAAAGAACTGCAACCGTCGCTACCCAAACTATCAGATCGACATTTGAAGTTGATGCGTTTGCACGATGGGGGTTCCCAACGTGTCCTAGACACATTTTAAAGTTGGACCTACCATTCTCAAGTACGCTTACTGTTCCCTCATACGTGTCATTGGACTTTTGAAAGAATCTCAGCATCTTGGCGCTTCCGTGTCTTCCGCTATGTATTACAGATGTGCTGATTCATAGCATCAATATAATCTCTTTAACCTGTCTACTTTGAAAGTATGCAATCGCGTAATGTCGATTGTATGATATGATACAAGGGTGAAAATCCATATCGCATTACCTTGCTTCATGGTTATTTGACTTTTCCTCGCATTGTGAAATATAGGAAGCATCCCTAACAAAACACCATCCTCCAAAATTTATTTCCACATTGTACCCAACTGCCACCCATCAACCATGTTCGAATTCTATTTCCTACCGCCTGCGGAAGCCAGGTAGCTGGTGCCAAGTTCACATTCCGTTCAAATCCATGTGGGTGCAGGCTCACGTTTTAAATAGAATCACCAGTCGATCGAAACAAAGGGAAAGCATTCCTTATTCCATGCCCTTCATGAAAAGTAATGATAGGCAGGGAAAGATTTTTTTTTCGGCAATGAAAACACCTTCTTCGAGAATTCATTAAATAAGAATAAGCTGCAACCATGGAAACCCATATCGACAACAGATCGACAACTAAAGTATAGTCGTATGCGCAATGTGTGCCTAAGAGAGGTATACGGCGGATTTCGGAGAAAAACCACTATTCTCAGGTGCATCTATCCTAAATATCTGGATATTTGAAACGTTCTCGATCGAGAATATGAGTACCTCTGTCATCCTATTCCTCCTCGTGCAAGAGGCCGTCATGGGGAAGTTTGTGCACTTGGCTGGAAATTACATAGGAAAAAATCCAGTCAAGGAATTCCATGAGAAGAAACCGTGCCGATGTGAACACTTCTGCACAATGTAACGTCATTGACTATGTGCTATCAGGTAACTACCTAAAGAAAATAGCATAATATATATTCGTATGCTTTGTTGTTTTTCCTAGGGAAAAATGGTGCATCACGTATGCCCTGAAAAAGGTCGAAGATGGTTTCATTTGCCAGCTGCTTTCGAAAAATTCCACCATTGTTGAAGATCCCGAAAGAAAATACAGAATCGCTTATTCAGGTAAGGTGCATTGGAATTCGCGTGAAAGGTGAAAAAGATACATTTTTATTGAATATGCACTAGTGGTGGGTATCGCGATTGTTACTCTTACTCATAGAGACTGACAAAGACATGTAATGTTGCACCTCTCTGAATGAACATAGCAAAAATGTGCAAAAATTAGCGTAGAGGAAATGAGACAGGATGTCTATACGAGGTATGATATATCTTGAATATCCCCAGACAGCCTCTGCACAAGGGAAAATCTTTCCCCAAGCTAGTTGTTATCCCCTAAATGAAAGGTGTCAATGGTGACGGTTACGATCTGGTTTCCTCGTATATGCGACCATGAAGCTAGTAATCATTACTTATTAATTCGAAAAATGTTCCAATCCCTAACGTAGGTTTATCATTCAATTTCGTCGAATTGAAGGAAAATGACAGCATTCCTAATTTTTAGGAACAATTCCCCCCAAAAAATCTGTCCCAACGAAATCCGACCTTTCTTCAAGTTAATGCTAAAGTCGAACGTGAAAAGTGAATGAGAGCGTCATTCTAGTGTCGAACATGATCAAAGTAAAGGTCTTTCTGGGAACTGAATTTCAGGAAGGTAAGATGGACTTGACACGTTCTAAAGCTTAAAATGCTGGCAGTACTGACTAATACCTTCAGGGAAGCCCCGCTTAACAATGGCGTTTTCCCAGAAAGGATTCCAGAAAAATTAGGGATATAAATTATGGATTAATGAAATGATGAAGCAATAATGCTGACTCCTCAACAAAAAAGTTCACAAAATAAATAAAAAAGAATAAGGGAAGAACTTGGAGATGAGGATAAGCAATCGTTGTTGAAGCGAGTGTTCGCGTCGATGCTGTGGCCAGAAATGACGAATTTTTAAGACTTCAAGAACTATACAAAAGTTTATGCAAGAAGAATGTCACAGATATAGTGTCAGCAAGCTAGGAGCTTCTATATCGAAGATGTTTCATTTCTTCCCTGCAGAAACAATTGCTCCAAAAGAATTCGAATTTGCGATGGTCACGGGGGAAATTCATTTTCTGAGAGCGATGGGGAAAGAACAATACACGAAAGCAAGGAGCACTTGCAAAGGCGAAGGTTTGGCTCACCTCGTCATGGACGATCGAGGTCAAGAGTGGCACGATTACGTCCTTGAATTCATGGAGTCGCATTTCCCATCCCAAGACAAGTTTTGGATCGGAGCT